TTAAAAAAATTTAAAAAAATATCAAGTGACGTCAAATGTTCACTTTGTCTGGTTTTGTTGCAGCACGCCCCATATAATACTCCTCGTGAAATCTAATTAGCCGAACACCTCGTGATTCGATAGTACCAGGGAGTGTCATGGAATGGACAGGGTACCAGGAGGTTTCTGTACTACATTTTTTATACGAAGCGCCGGCTAATATAGATCTGAAAGTAATTTAGCCGTTATATTGTCACAGATCCACAAACTTTATTCAGTTATAAGGGCGTAATCAAATTCTACATTATTATAGTATAAGTTGATAAAGAAATCGCCAAAATCGTTATAAATCGATAAAATTGCTATAATCAGCTATAAACTATTTATAATCGTAAAAATGGTTATTTAATAATATATTTTTTTCTTAATAATAATAAATATCCAATTCAAAATTTATAGGTATGACAAAAATTCTTGAAAATCGGAAATAAATGATAATGAAATTGAGCCTACGTACGTATATATAATGCATTAATAACATTTGATAAGCTTGTAAAAGTAGAAAGGTATTTATTAAATAAAAATATGATCTTCAGTAAAAGATTGATAGGGACAGGCACAAAGTGCAATTTCTCCCGAAATAAGCCCCATCCGGATATGTATAATTAATATTAACTAATTTGCTATATTAATATCCCACCTTTCACATTACCTACTCAAAACCAGATCTTAATTAGGTTAACTACTTTCTTTTTCCGAACTAGAGAAAAAGGATTTTATGTTATGCAGTTTTATGCCCGACAGATGAAAAATATCCTTACTTCAGATTGGAAATCAACAAAAGCTGATATAAAGTAAACCAAAAAAAAAAAAAACACCGAACGTGTACCTAGGGCTTAGCCCATTGCTTTGCAGGCCCGAAGGGGCGATCCTAAAGGGTCGATCCTAAAGGGTCATAAAATTTATCTATATATTTTACTATCTATTTTAACTGCATTCTAGAATAGTGAACATAAGCGATTACATTTTGATAGCATAATCAGATATCCTGTATATAACATGCAAGCGTGGCTTTATAGGCATTCATTATTTTCTCATTTTTTTTTCTCGTACCATTGATCGGAGTTTATTATAGCGTTTCCTAATATCGACCAGGGGTTGAAACAGTTGGTATACCACATTTAATACATGGCATTATTCTTTCGCCTTTCCAATGACTACATTCCTCAGGTATTGCATAAGTGTTTTCACAAATTTCACCGGGATTATGAGGGAATAGGCAGGTACATTTATCAGACATTTTCATTATATTAAAATACAAATCTTTAGATAATTAAAATATAATACAAATTTAAAATGACAACATAATTGCAATCAGGTCATCAAACTCGCAATAACATGATCCGATAACATATATAGCATAACTGGATATAAGATTTACGCGATTATTTTCTCTGTTGTCGAAACGGCCATGACTATTAAATCAGCATACATTATGTCGCATGTGGGTGATGACAAAAAATTGCCATTCGAGTGACGTGTATAAAAATATTAACTAAACGGATAAATATGCTCCGTTACGCTTTGCATCTGTTTTATATTTACCTAAAGGCTCATGCTCACAGTAATAGAAAGCTAATTAGTGATCAAATATGATAACTATGCTCTGCCCCAATAACACACTGCACTTCGTTTGTTCATGATCAGAATGGATTTCGGAGACTCAAACTAGACAAAAAAGCAATATGCTAACTAGATGCTCCGCTCCGCTTCGCATTTCGGGTGCTTTGCACCCTCATACAGCTAGCAATATTAGATTTCAGAGACTTAAACTTGACAAGAAAGCAATATTGTTTTCTAGATATATTTCAAAGCGAAAAAAGGTCAAATAGCTATACAATTAATTGATATAAATCTTAAAGGTTTTAGGTGCTTTTTTAATCAAGGAAGCAAATTATATTTCTTGAGTTTTAAATCGCTTTGCTCTATCAAGAAAACAAATTATCGATTTTAATAATTTTAACGCTTAAAACCCGCAGGCTGTTGGTGTTATTTTACCGAAATTGTGTCGTAAAAAACAAAATGCTCGTCATAGTTCCATTTTTACACCATTTTTACACCTGATTTTTGCTATCGAATTTAACGTTTTTAGCGCTAAAAATCCGCAGACTGAAGGTGTATAAAAAAACACCCCACCAAAAAAAAGTCTGCTCGCGCTCCCTGCTGCTCATTTTCTCACACCAGACAATCGTGACTTCTACAATCTTTTGAGTGGGAGTCCCAGTGGTCAAATTAGTGTGATATTTATTGCCAAATCCCACCATCAGCCAATTTCCCTAGTTGGTCAGGGTCATCAGTTGCCTTGTGCTCAATAATTAATGCCGTCTTGTGATGGGACATGTCATAACGGCCAATGCCCGATTCTCTGTTTGATGTTATTTCCAACATGAGTTAAAATATGGTAGTATTTCTCTGTTGTTGATGTTGATAGGTCAAAATATGAAAACATCTCCATGACATACTTCGGGAGCATTAATAGCGAAATTCTAGCTGACGATCATCAGTACGAGTCAATCAAATTTGATTGGTTGTAATTACTGCGTCGAAGCTCATTGTGCAAGAGTGCACTATTACTATGTATTTTTTCGTTTATTATTAATTGGTTTAAAAAAAAAGTTGTGATAAAATTATTTATAAATGGGAACAGATTGCATATATCTATCGCTTTTAGCTAGTTAGAAAATTACAGTTTAAGTTTTTCGTCACAAGTGGTGCAATATTTATGAAAGCTGGTGCATGTTTATTGGCCTTCTTATTTATATTGTGCTGATTCAGAAAAGTTTCAATCTCTCTTGCAGAAGACAGTGACTGTATCTTCAAAACCAAGTCATTCACCAATGGCTTTTTCGGATGTAATAGGCTTTCATCTTGTGCAATTATGTCTGGGTCAGCCGAAATATTATTTTGTCTATGAACGGATCTCCCAAGAGATGTTTGATGCTGTAGAATGTCATGAATGGATACACTAATTCCATTTGGTGTGTTGACTGGTACGTATGAGAGTGTGCTGCAATTTGCACCAATGTCATTGCGAAGAACGCTGTCAAAATCTATGCTTGACAAAAATGCTACATTCTGTAAAAATGGACAAAAACGTTAAAGTGAATTTTGATCATATTGAAAGCTAAATAACACGCCAAAGTAAACAATATATTCATACCAGAGGTAAGTCTTCAATTCCAAGCATATAGCTAAATAATGCCCTTGTCCACAAATGGCTCACTTGTAACGCTAATGCTGCTCTATAACTGTCTTCTTCTTTAACAAGATACTTCAATTCATCCTGTGATAACAGCATAAATCTTGCTTTGATATCATATGTATCTATTAAGTACTTCATAGCGACAAGCATTAAATGAATATAATCAACAGATGATGACTGGATTATCCAGTTTAGACGTAATGACACGTGATCCTTTTTCACGCATGAATGATTCAATGCTTCTGTGGGGCAGGAACCTAAAAATGGTGTACACAGCTCGGAAGATCTAATTATGCTATTAAGTGTATTGACAGTATAACTCTCGCTTCCACCAAAAACCAGACCGGAACCTTTTGGTGTTGATCGTAATTTGGTGGATGATTGGCTATTTGGTTGGCTTAACCACTGAACATTCATCTGGGCATTTGCTGCGTTCCACTTTAAACCAATGGTATGTTTAATAAATTTCTTTGCTAGTGATTTAGCCTTCCCTTCACTAATCTTCTTATTGTATTTCTTAATCATCTGCGTAAGAAAAGTCTCATCACTTCCAAACGTTCTTGCATTGTTGATAACTTCTGCTTGTCTATCAGATATGTCCATGATATTGGCAGTTCGTGTATGCAGATTCGAGGTAACCGATGTGCCTCCTTGTAACAACATCCAACTCATAGCCGAAGCTCCATGTATACCAAACTGAGCATCTCCTAAAAGACCGTAAATCCATAATTCCAGAGATGATAGTCTAGCGCCTATAATTTTGTATCCATCTGGCGATTGAATTAGAGCTTTTAATTCTGACCCAATACGTTCTTTATGTAGTTCATTGGCCGACATCCAAAGATAGTCCTTCGGTCTACGAGTGACTGTCGCCAGTGGTTTAACCATTGGAAGTATCATTCCAGACTTCATTCCGTCACTTTTCGTATCGTAAACTATTACCGTTGACTTTATTCTCTCTTCGTTCATCTTCCAGTAGGAACACGAAGCATAAGCTCGGAGAATTGACTTAGCCGTAGATGAGTCAGATGAAAGTGTTCCTGATTCGATTTCAGATAGAAAATAACGAGAAAGCAATGATGAACATTTTAAACCCTCATGATAAGGAATACGATAATATCTCCCAGCTGTGTCCTTGGCATATTTTGGTTCGTAAGAAGGTGATAGCGATGAGGCCGGCCAAGTGCAGGGTGAAATTTGTTCTTTGAATGTTGAATCATTAATAGGAACTCGATAAGTCCATCCGAAAGCATTCGTGTAATACACGGGATATCCTTTCCATTTGAGACGGAGGAGTATAGGTGCTATCCTTGTCCTGGCAGTGATTTTCATAGAGTTAGTTGACTGGTTATATAGCATACGGTACCAGCGAGGAAGAAACGAAGATTTCTTTGAAAGAGAAAAACATGAATATGACAATGTTGATAACGTTGACGATGGCGACGAAGATGACGAGGAAGGTGCTGTCGACCAATCTAATTGTTGCAACCATGGATCGTTCATTGCATGGGATGGATGAATTTTCACAGCTTCGTCTGCTAACTGCTGGAACATCCTTTCTATAGTGTCCATCTGTTCCTTGTATATAATGTCCGCATTGTTTATGTATTTATTCCAATCACTCTTCGTTGTTAAAAATGTATCTGATATGTGCATCATGCCCACGAACGACGCTGGATGCGGATATTTAATAAGATATTTTGGCAATAATTTTTGAAATACCTTATAAGTCACTGTCACATCCTTAGCACAATAAGACATAAGCTCCTGAAAGGTATCCTCGACTATTAGGTCATCTAAACTCCCATCAACGAACACGTTACGTGGTAATTTATCTAGCTCACCAGAAAAATGACATAAATATACTTCTCGAAGACTGCTAATAAGGCTGAGATCGTATAGCGCATGAAAATCTTTTGAATGGAGGAGTTGATTGGTATCATAAGTTTCCCACATCTTGTCGGTCTTTATCCATGACGGACAGGTTTTACATAACCCAGTCACTGCAATATGTAGAGCAGCCGTATCGAGAAAATGAATATTGGGAGACGTTAGAGAATACATTTCCTTAATCCTTGCTCTATCATATCCAACGCTATGTCCAACTATGATTCTCGGTCGATCGTTTTCACCAAGCGGAATTAAATGCTCGGTAAGAGAGGGTGAGCAGCCACGCGATGGATCAAATGAGTCATTCGAAGTTCTATATTTTAAATATTCTATGAGCCGAGGTGAGACCCATGAATACCATGCAGTTGAAGATACAGCGCACGCGATCACAGGAAAATTACTGTCTCTAACCATTGTTTCAACGTCAAAACATAGACTCTCTTCCTCAGGATATTCGACTGGTTCGTTTTTATCATTATAATATTTTGTCCAACCCGCTCTAAATTGCCATTGGCCGCGTTTTGGAACCTCGAGTATGTTAGACTTTGAAAATTCTCGAGCAATTTGATTGATCGGTTCAGCTTGTTGATTTGCTATGTTGTAAAAATGGTGAGCAATTGATGAACCGACAATTTTTGGCAGCTTAAATTGAGGGATCGGAGCAGCCGTATTGTCTTTCTGGATTGATATGTTGTTCTTCGAGAGATGATCAGATGCTATTCTAAGACAATTTTCAGACGGGGATGGGCGTTTTTTGAATAATTGTTCATGAAGCCAACGCGGAAGCATTTCTATGCCAAAATGGTTGAATTCTCCTGAAATTGTAAATCAGTTCGGGTGGTTAAAAAACGGAATAAAATATGTTAAATGAACAAATTTTTAAACCGCGGCGTACATATCCACATAGTGTTAAACGCACGCGTCTTGCATGTACACTCACTCTCATTCGGTGCTGTCTTACTCTCGTTCACAACGCCGTTCACTTGCTTGGTCTTTGGTGTATCATGTATGTACGAACTCACGTATGTACGGAATGTGGTGTTATTCGAAAGTGCGAACCGATTATTATTACATAGAAATACCCTCTTCCAGCCTTTATCGGGGATAAACATGTGCGTCAGCATAACGAGAGCCTGATAATCATAATCCCATTCCTGTCTTCGCGTGACAAAGTAATTGATCAAAACGGGTCTCTTATTATGTTTACGCTCAAGTCTTGACGATGTTTCTCCAAACACATTAGCGTGACTTTATTATTGTGTGACACAACTATTTACACGCCAAGTTCGTGAAAAAACCGCAGTAATACGACAGTCACTCAACAAATCAGATTGATAAGTCAGACGATCGCGCCAGATTAATAACAAATGGCTCTATGTCAATGCTCGATTGAATTACGAAATAGTTCTCAACAGCTTTGCTTCATGCAATTAATAATATGAGAAGTTCTATTACCACGTACCTGTCCTGGAATAGCCATACAGGAAGCATTGTGAAGAGGAGAAACCCTAAATATGCACAACATTCTGATATTAAAAACAATCTCGGGAACGAAAACGCATTAGAAGAACGTTAACATAAAGCACTAATTAAGATTATCGATAAATTAGTAGGACGAGAATGAAAACAACTTTATAAATTGTCTACTCAAACAAACACACTTTGTTTATTAGTGAAGAAAAGTAAATTGTGAATTAGTATTTGATGTTTATCGACAACTTTCCAATCCTTGATATGTCAATTATTCCAACTGTGGGTCATCACTTCTGCACCCTTTGCAGAGATGCTCGGAGAAATATCCACATTTTCGTGCTTCTCACAACAAGCCTTCTATAAATTTATTAAGTAGAACACGTAGATTTCGTCCCCAGTAAGTGCACTCGTAGAGTCTAACCGTGTTTACAACTTTCATATTCTCCATATGTAAAGCTTACGATCACAACCATCTAATTAGGCAACATTCTCAATTGGAAGTTCATTGAACATGACCAAAGATTTACTTAATAGAATGTGTATCGTAATGAACTATCATATAGAGTTAATATTGAATTAAAGTTGTACTTATATAGACAACATTAAACGCGCCTTCTAATTTTGGGGTTTTACGGACTGTAATTGACATTAGCAAAAATCTCAAAGTGATACTCACCAAAAAGCAAGATACAGCGAGCGGTTTTAAAGGAAATGCTAACCGGCATGAACAAATCCAATTATTATTGCCGCTGGAATTTGATTTGTAACTACGAATAAGTTAAGCATACGTCGACATATCTGTGTAGAATATTATCGAAATTGACCGATATTCAACTGTAATTCGAACATAGTCGGCTTTAAAAATTACTGCAGATTTGTTTATTTTCAAAACATTATATATACTAATACTGAATGGCTATAATTAGTCTAGAATAAGGGAACACGTTAATAACTCAACAATTATCCAACAGTGACAATAGCCCTGCTCATTTCTGTTCCGTTCCGATAATTTCGTGTTCCTCCATTCCAATATTATTCCGTTGTTTTCTTTTCACTCCAAGACTTTAATTGTTATTTGTTGCAATAAAAACCATATTTCCGAAAGCCATTAGAACCCTTTTTCGCAACAAACGGACGTTTTGGTTCCATCCGTGTCCGATCATATGATTTTAATCCGCCAATCAGGGGGCGGCGCAAATCGGAACGGGCTATCATTATTATTATGGATTACAAACGACAAACGTTTGCTAAGTTATATGAGAAGTAGGTGGCCAGTAAACCGTAACTAAGTCGTTCTTACTACGTATGCATTCGCTCACCATTTGTTAGTACGGGTCACTAACGGCGGCTGATGTCACAAAACAGCCAATCATATTACTGTAATAAACAAATAAATCTAAATCGTTGTTGATGAGTTCTCCCTATTTGTAAGCCAAGCTGTTTTCCAAAGTGGATTCTTGCATGTCAAACACAAACACAAACACGTTACACAAATCTACAGTTACGATTAACAATTAAAGGATTATATCCTGTTAATTAAAAGCATGGCGACGTTATTGAAACGTCAGTAACGTCCAAAAAAATAAAGAAGTTTATTTTAATAGTTTGCGTGTAAATTTCAGGAATGGACGTCATATAAAAAATTGGTTTACTTTTTTGCGTTTAAAGAAGTCTTACACTTATGGAGGTTGCACTTATAGAATTCGAGTGTGCTTTGAAACACACTGTTCATGTTTATGCGCTGGTGATTTATTCAATATAGTGGTAAAACTGCCCGCTAATTCCTATCTCAATTAGAAGTATTTGCTTCTTGTTCCGCGAGTATTTCACTGGCTTACAACAAATTGTTCGCTTACGTGGAAACATGTTTGATATAATTCTGACTTATAAGTTTCCGAAACAATTTTATCGGAAGAGAATAGTGGATTTACTCGAGGAAGGATGAATTAGTGTCTACCGGCCGACACCAAGTTGTGAGTAGTAAAAATAAAGCCTGGTTTAAAGGTCGCTTACAGTTATTTATTCAATAAAAGTGGAAAACGCCACAGCTCCGCTCGAATTGACAACCCGCAATTATGATTCGACGGGGATAAAGTTGGTTGAAAACAAAATGAGAAAGATTTTACGTAAATTTAATAACGCTGTTCTTTATTTAGTTTGTTGGTGATAGGTATAAGTTTGGGACAACTTTTGTTCATATATACGAGACACATGGATGATTACCAATCCTGTTTTTTTAGTCAAATTCTCATCATGTGCTGAACTTCATATCTCAGATCGTGATAGCACACACGACCAGATTTATATATTACTTATTATTACTATAATTTGATTCCTGTTACAGCTGTTTTATTGGGATAATTCATCGCTAGTCTTATGTCTATTCAAAGATGGAATTGGTATATGTGAAGGAACAATTTTCCGCTCCATAAAATAAGCGGTAAGGCAATATTGAAGTAGAATTCAAGCTGGCAATGTCTTTTGCAGAATTCATTGCATTTTGTTGTTCATTCTACACAGCTACATCATCCTCTTGTTTATGTCGCATATAATAAAATGTTCACTTTGTCTGGTTTTGTTGCAGTCGCCTCGTTTTAATTTGTTGCGTTGTGTAACATTTAATCATACTTTTTTGTTCAGGTCTGGGGTGACGTCAATTTTGCGGTTCCTTCATTTTGTAGCAATTACAATGAACAGTGAACAAAAATGTACGGGGATAGCCTGTGGAAATCCCGCGAGATTGCAATGCCCTACTTGCTTGAAGAATGGCATTTCAGGCTCTTACTTCTGTACACAAGAGTGCTTTAAAAAGAACTGGGTAAGCAGTGATTCGCGCGGCAGCAACGTTCAGGGACTAATTTGTTTAACTGTGTCCTTTCCCAACCATTAGGCTACCCACAAACCCATTCACGATAAAGGTATGTTTTTAGTGATTGATGCGAATTTAAGACGGTACTGACCGTGCTCTTGTAGGAAATACATATATTCCAAAGTATAATTATACCGGTTCGTTGCGAGCGGTCTACCCTTTGTCACCTCGAAGACCAGTACCACCGCACATAATAAGACCGGACTATGCAGACGATTTCACAGGTTGAGAGATTGTATCATAAAGAACTCAATAATTTGAAGTTGACAAGAATAATGCAGAGCAGTTGAAGCTCCATTTGCTCACGGCCTACGCGAAATGTTTCTTGAATCAGGCCAACCGAAATCTGAGCAAAGCGTCCGTAACAGTACCACAATAAAAGTCCTGAATGAAGAAGAAATTGAGGGCATGCGAACTGTTTGCAAGGTTAGCCACTTTAATTAACATTTTGTTTTTTTCTTTATCTACAAATTTCATTCTGGCATTGCTTAGTTTGTAACGGTAACGACTTTCAATGAATACTACGCGCGGACAGCTTGCTCGCGAAGTATTAGATATTGCAGCGGCAGCCATAAAACCTGGTGTCACTACGGATGAGTTAGATCGGATAGTTCATGAAGCTACGATAGAACGCGATTCTTATCCATCTCCGCTAAATTATTATGGGTTTCCAAAATCAGTCTGCACGTAAATGTCGGCTCTTAAGTTATTTCATTGCCAAGTAGTTGTCTTTTAACTTTTTTGGCGGTTCTCTCACGGAATTTAGTTCGGTGAATGAAGGTAAGTTTGAAGCGCGTGTTTTCCTAGCTGCCGGCCGACATTTGTTGAATCAGTTTCACCTTTCATCAGTTATCTGTCACGGAATACCCGATCAGCGCGAACTTCAGGATGGCGATATCGTCAACGTGGATGTCACGTTGTATCATAACGGTTTTCATGGAGATCTTAACGAAATCTATCCAGTTGGGAACATAGACGAAGATAGCAAGAGGTTATTGCGAACTGCAAAGGAATGTCTGGACAAGGCAATAGAACATGGTAATTAAACATGTCGATTTTAACTTGACTTTTTGTCAGTAATTGTCTAACAGGTCTTCATAGTCAAGCCAGGCTTTTTATATCGTAATCTTGGAGCAATTATAGAGAAAACGGCAAAGGAAAACAACTGTTCTGTCGTTAGCTCGTATTGTGGACATGGAATTCATAGGTTAGAATTTTCGCTCAACGAAGGCTAACATTAAAGCCAGACTCAGAACTTCTGAAATAACCATTATTACTTTGATATCATCGAAGGCTCTTTCATTGTGCGCCTAGTGTTCCTCATTACAAAAGTAGGTTGCTCTTTGATGCTTATCTACTATGTTTTTTTTTCATGAAATTAATCATAACATGAGTACCCTCTTCATTAGAAAATAAGGCTGTGGGCATCATGAAACCTGGCCACGTATTCACGATAGAGCCAATGATAAATCTTGGTACGTAACGAATAATTGCGTCTCATATTAACTATTAGTTAGCATCTCACAATGCGAGAGTATTTTAGGAACTTGGAAAGATCAGCTCTGGCCTGATAACTGGACAGCGGTCACTGTAGACGGAAAACGAAGTGCACAATTCGAGCACACGCTTCTTGTGACCGAAACTGGTGTTGAAGTATTGACAGCTAGAGCAAATGAAAAGCGAATTTATCCATAAGGAGCTATGATTAATGCGGGATGCAGAGGAAGCACCTAATTCCGCTTTAATGACATGATGCACTTTATCTTATTATACCTTTGTGCAATAAAGATATAACCTGGAGATGTTTTAATGTATGATTTGTGTGATACATTAATTATTTGAGGCATCCTACATTATTATTATTTTTGCGTAAGAATAAACTGAGCCAATCGACCAAGCCAAGAGACAGATAGTTTGTTTTCCGGCATGCGTGACCAAATTACCAATCGCCGTAAAACAAGTACGCGGACTTTAATACTTTCTCTATCAGAATGTTGCTTAGTATAGGGGATGGCTAAAGCGGGGGCAAATACATGAAATCATCAAATTAATAACAATTTTTTAATTAAGTTATTGACATTTAATACATATGAGTAAAATTTCATGCTGAACATTTTTACTTAGAAGTCAAAGGCTAGTTATCATAGTAAAATTTGAATTTTCTTCTTTTTGGCTTGTTTTGAACTTTATATGTTACACGTGATCTTGTAATTAGATTGGTTAACTTCGCCAATCTTTGAAATTTAATTGGACTGATTTCTTGTGTTGCCCCCGCTTTAGACGACCCCTTAGTATTGGTATAGTAATACGCATGATAAATACGTAATGTTAATGTCTCGTTGTGGAGCCGAAAATTATTGCACTGTTTGATGGCCAAATAAGGTAATTTTAGTCAACTTCTGGAAGGTCGAATTCATTGGGCGGGTTAATTTTTGTGATTCTGTTCTTCGAGATTGTATGCGATAACGTTATCGCTTACCATACTCTATCCATTTTAAACTTCGCGACGCTATAATTATTGGTGACAAAAAAGAAGTTGATTTGCAGTAACATAAAAGAGTTCATAGGATGAATTGGCATGCTGACATAAATATTATAATAAGAATAATAATAATAATAATCAACCTTGTGACGTCACGTTAAACAATGCCCCCTTTGTTAATTTTTCAACGCGCTTTAGTTTGTATTATTAAAGCCTAATAAAGCTTTCCTTGTTCCCTAGCCTATACACACATTAACATCATTCCGACAGCCTGTTCATTTGTTTAGTATCACCAGACATGTCACCACAAGAAATTGACGAGAGCAAGCGCAAGTCTGAGGAAACAAGCAGGAATGAAGAGAAGCAGAAAGAAAACAGTCAGTCTGACGATAGTCAAGGAGAAGATGAATATGTTGTAGAGAGAGTTTTAAGACATCGCAGGAAAAACGTGAGTCTTTATTCAGACTGAGCATAGTGATTTCTCCTTGACTCAAAAACTTATCTGTTTAGTTTCTTGCCGACTATTTAGGGTCATCTACAGTTCTTCCTCAAATGGAAAGGGTACCCAGATTCCGAAAATACGTGGGAGGACGAAGAGAACGTGTACGCATTACTCAGCCGCATTTGTTGATTCCGTTGATTGTAGTTTACCCTAGTAGTTTTTAAATTTGATTCAATCAGTTTTGCGCAAAATTTAGTTGAAGAGTATTGGGAAGGGATTGGAGGAAGGCCTAATACAAAGACGGCTTCCAAATCGAAAACCAACGGTGATAATTCATCAAAATCAGCTCCCACTCGGTCAGACTTTAAGCGGAAACGAGCAATAGACTTATCTGATGAAGGAATTGATACCGATGACGATTTTCCGCCTTCATATTGGGGCAGTTGGGAGGAAGAAGTGGAGAATATCGAAACCGTAGAAAAGACTAACGAAGGTTTATTCGTCTATTTGCATTGGTATGTCGTTCTCAGCAACGAGCCTATTTTTATCAAAAGACAGATAACTCGTCCGCTAATAATTCTCCCGTAGGAAAAACGGTCAGAGAACAGTACATGATTCGAGAGAAGTGAATGAAAAATGTCCTCAAAAGGTTTGTCCTTTTTATATTACTCATGCTTTTGCGATCGGCGGAATCTTTCGCAATAATTGGTACTTTTAAAATGCTCATTAGGTAATAAGCTTCTACGAGAAGCATTTGCGATTTAGGATTGTAGAATGATAAATAAATCGTTAGAGAAATAGAAGAGTTTGAAGCCTTTATTGAGAGGTATCTGCAGAATTTAGATTTGTGCATATCTGACCGCGTACACCAAGGTGGTCGATTGATACCAACAATTACATTAACATCGCCAATAAATATTTATACCACAGCCATGGTGTAATACCTTGTCTGATCCTTTACCAGAAATGTAGATTGTTGCCTTGTATTGCATGGTAGTTGATTGGTCAGTGTCATATACGATAACGTTGGAAAAAGAATAGAAACAGAACTCTGTTTGCAGTTAATCCCCTTTCAGAATTCATCTGTTGTAGATAGTGGCCGAATCTTATGTCGTTTCTCACGGCGTATAAATTTTTCCGGTTCATTGGCATTTCCGGGAGTTTCCAAATCTAAACTGTCTAGTCCTCCTGATTCATTTGGGGAGACAGCCAAACTCAATACCTGCTCCCGTAGGGCGATCACGGCCGAGTCAAGACATAATTCAATATGACAATGATTACGAATAATCGAAATTTCTGAGGATAAGTTGATATCATTAGTCACTATTGCAAACATGATAACGAATGATTCAAAACTTACTCGGCCATGTAGCCCTTTCACCTCTTAACGTTGCATCTTTTAGTATTTCTGGTGTGGGGTTAGTAAGGAGATTCAGGAAATCGGTATATGCTATTTGTGGTACTATGGTAATATCACCAACGTATCGTTGGGATACAATAGCTTGTATTCGATATATTAAACTTCCTGTAATTCCGAGTTCACTTAACTATTGTTTTATAGCAAATCAGCATCAGTAAGCGCGCTATGAATAGAACGATCGTATGAAAAATAACTACTTTTAACGTATTCCACTCACCTGGTTCAATCTATGTTGTATTTCAGAAACAGCAAGGAAAATGAACCAGCTGACCATACGATTTATTGCCGAGGGAATGAGCTTCGTTTGAAGAAATGGGACAACATGGGGATTGACTGATAAAGTAATTAGACAGAAATAAGCGTTGTCGTCAAGTTGGACACGCTGATATAAACAAAATATGATAAGCCCAATTCTTGCCTTGACTGACGATAAAATGATTAACGTTGAACAACTCAGACAGCTTATTCATTGGAAGGTCGCTGTAATTATGTAAATTAATGATATATATCTTATGCATCGCTGGAACGTCGTTTTACGTCTTATATACTCACTTTTCAACAGAACCATCGATCCATGTGTGACCTTTGATTTCAATAACAAATAAGATTAATAAAGAAGTTTTATATGACTATGCGCGCTTCAATTCAAAGAACTAACAACAAACCAGATGGATTCCAAAGTGCAATCTTCCCAGCTTTATCTTTTGCCATCAATGGCGTCGAACCATAGATGAATGGCACAGCGCATGATGCAGCCCTGTAAAATCGTTTGATTCACCTTGGTTAGACTTATCATATATCATGATCAAACAAGGAAGATTGACAAACGTGTTATGTAACTTACACAGCGGACCAAATTAGCTTCAGGCGCGAAGACATTAACAATAACAGTCAGACAAAACATTTCCGATATATAATAATTGAGATGCGATAACTCAACGTACCACGTTCGGTGCTGTCAAATAATTGAGAAGCCGCGGCATTTCATATACGCTGGCAGAACTGACAGTAATATTTAAAATACGCCGAGTGCGATTAAATGCCTCCTGAAAGTTTGGAACATGCTATTGAGCACCTTAACTTCGCAATACGCAAACAGTTGGTGCTGATAAATATACCTGAAAAGTCATATCCCCAAGTTGTTTGCGCATCCATTCTATTAGAACATCACCGTCATACAATACGCCTGCATCAAGGTAAGAAAGAAATTAGCCATGAATTCGGTAGATCTGATTTTCTCTTCCGTGAATTACCTCGTTTAAACAAGCGACAAAGCCTCGTATATAATGTATCTGGTCGATCTTTTTTATCAAATACCTCCTTCAAATGATAAAACTTATCAATATAATATTGCCTCAACATCGTATCCCAAAGCATATATAACTTACAAAATCCAAATTCTGCATCTCATAGAACCATGTTGGAATTTCATCATCAGTCTTTGTGCAAAGTAATGCAGCTATGATCGATCCACTAGATGCTCCAGAGATAATACGCGGCAATAACTTGACTTCATATAAACACTTTATGACACCAATGTGAGCAAGTCCTAAATATGACAGACGCGTCTTATTGTCAAGTATTACATGTACGTACGATTATTCACATACGTACCAAACGTTGCCCCTCCACTCAATAGAAGAGCAGTTCGCCCAAACGATTGTCGTGTATTAGTGATAACTTCTAGCTTTTCCTTAGGGGTTATGTCATCCGATTCTAGTTCACAGATTCTATTCAATAACTTAGCAACTTCGTTAATATACGCTTCTATAAGTCTTTTGGTGCCTATGTGTGTGTGGGCATATAGCTAAGATAGACAAAGACAAACAGCCTTATAAGTTAGATGTTGAAGTCGGGACAATGGTTTACAATTTACCTTTGGTTGACCCATGTCTCCGAGATTCCTCGATAAAGACGTTCTAAGCTTGAAAATCATGGCAGATAAATCGCCGGATTTACGAACTTGTTGCAATTCAGCACGCCTAGCCTTCAATAGTTTATAGTCATAATCCGGAGACTCCTCCTCGTTTTTCCACTGCTCTTTGCCTTAGTATAAAAATGTAATAGCATGGTTACTACGTTCAGTTTGTCTCTGACCGGCGGAACGTATTAAACATTCATACGATCACAAAACGTTCGATTGATTAAAGTAATCAAACGGTAATGAAGTTTCCAGATTATTCTTCTACGAGTACGAAAATTCTCATTACCTTCATGAATATCAAGACTTGTTGCACCATAAGCCCAGTCCTCGTACGTGGTCGCATGTTTCATAATGCGCTTACATTGTGATATAGGATCCTGAGGACATACTACGGTTGCGTAAAGTTTCTTTATTAATAAAAAGAAAACGAAAAATTGTCAGAAGCATTCTAAAAGAAAAAAGGAATTTAATTTTCGATTGCCAGTTTACAAATATTGCACGACGGTATACTTTTGCCCAGTAAGACGACACTTCGCTTGCAACAGAGGTCACTCCGGATATCAGGGTATATAGGGAAGACTGAGAAGACCGTGAAGGATCGTTTTCTTCTGGGAAATGCAACACTTGGTCTTCCGTAGGCGGTCGAGCGTCCCAATAACTCGTAATTATCGACTCTTTTAAATTTGGTAAATTCATAGCAGTATTCATAAGAGACCTGAGTGAGTTCTTTATTAATGACACTTACGTCGAACACTGAAGGTGCCACGCATTTATCTCTAAGAGAACTTTGTCGCTAGATAATTTTTGTTGACAACCGGCAGATCATCTGGAAAAATGGTTCTGATCATATGCCTAATCACTAAATCGAGGTAATCAATTCTTTCTCTCACGTTACGGAGTATCGTGAATATGAGAGTAAGTGAAAATAGTAAGGCAAAAAGTGTAAGAATGGTAATTATATCTTCTGATTAAACTCAATTATTGTTAGATAGCTGTGGAAGGTTGTTGTCACGGTACGCTCGACGTAATATATAAAACTCTGAAACATATAGAGCAAGTTGACAAAATTAAGATAGACTTGTTGCTAATATGCGGTGACTTTCAGGTAATGTGATTAATGAATGTTTGATGCATGGATTAAATTATATTCACTGTCACTGGAGTTTCTCTTTTTTAGTCAATCCGTAATACTATCGACCTTGACTCTTTGGCAGTTCCAGCCAGATATCGATCGTTAGGCACTTTTCATAAATACTACAGCGGTCAATCAAAGGCACCATATCCGACTCTTTTCATTGGCGGAAACCATGAAGCTAGTAATTATTTATGGGAACTGTAAGAAATAATACTTTTGTTCGCTTACAAGTGTTATTAAAATAGGTGTATTAATTAAATTTATTTACCACTTAGATATCACGGGGGCTGGGTCTGTAAAAACATTTATTATCTCGGATCCGCAGGCGTCGTTCGGTTTGGTGGGGTTCGTATTGGCGGAATATCAGGCATATATAAAGATAAGCACTATTCATGCGGTAAGTCCAATTTCTATATCGATATTCTGTATTATTGCTGACTGCCTATCGTGAGGAACCTTTATTGCTGACTGCCATATTCATTGGACCGTTCATTTAGGCCATTATGAAAAGCTCCCATATTCAGATAATACATTAAGAAGCGTTTACCATGTCAGGAAGTATGAAGTATTTAAATTGTCTCAGGTATCGTGATTTGTAAGCTGTGCATATTTCAACGTCATTACAGTCGTGCATAATCTCAGCTATTTATTCATCGTCAGATAAGACAAAAACTAGACATTTTTATGTCTCATGACTGGCCGAGAGGAGTTGAACAATTTGGTGATGTACAAAACCTCGTTCGGATGAAACCGTTCTTCAAAAATGAGGTGAGTATGTTCAACAGTCCATATTCGGTGCATTCTATACTAAGACTCACATGATCATAATAGATTGAAAATAATACCTTGGGTACTCCTGCTTGTGAGGAATTATTATGGAAGTTGAAGCCAAAATATTGGTTCGCAGCCCATCTACATGTTAAATTTGCGGCTGTAGTTCCCCATTCCACAGCTGCAACCAATAAGCATCAAGACAAGAAAATACAATTTATGAGTAATCCAGATGAAATCGTCATGGATTTAGATGATGAAGAGGATATCGATAATAATGTAATTGATGATATTGATAGAGTTGGTAATAGAGATACCGATTCGGCTTCAGAGATGCAAAATCCTGTGAATTCTGATGGACAAATTAACGAGAATGAATCAAACGTGGTTACCCGATTTCTGTCTCTTGATAAATGTCTGCCCAGGAGGGATTTCCTACAGGTCACAAGTCAATTAATTTGCCAATTTTACTACCTTACATATATATACACAGATTCATTTTAGTTGACTTGCGAATAGGTTATCGAAATTCCTGATGCTCAGGGTCCGATGGATTTCATGTATGATGAGGAATGGCTTGCAATTACAAAAGTGTTGCATCCGTACTTGAGTCTCAATTCTCACCAGCCACAACTACCACCAGAAGAAGAAGTTAGACAGTTAGTAAACCTTCGTTCAATTCGTATTTTCAATTATGCTGTTCATTGTATCGTATCTTCTTTTTAGGGCGATAGACGAAAAATTAGAATGGGTGAGATCTACTATTGGGCAGAGCGAGTCCGGATTGCTCATCCCGAAGAATTTCAGACCTACTGCTCCTTCTCACGATCAGTTGACGTCTGACCCGAGTTTAAGTAAAAATGCCAGTAAGTTACACGCGTTGCTCTGTTAGATTGCTCTAAATTTATTTGATCGAATGGGTTTTCATTTTTTATGTAGGACGGGAGTATTTGAACCCTCAAACTGAGGAATTTACTACTTTATTGGAAATAACAAACAAAATCAATCCTAATGGTCAGCGAACACATACAGTAAACTAGTCCATACAATAAGGTGATCATATGATTGTAACCAGAACAATGATGACTTATCCTAAACGCCTATGTGTTAAATCGGTGCTTTCCCATTCCTTTTCTCCCGCTATGATTAACCCATACAAAATGTCCGATTTTCTACGACCGGAACTCATCATATGATTACAAATCACGGACAATTGGATATAAGTGGCATGATATCATGTTTATGATCAGATGACAATTAAAGAATATTAGTATTGGAAATTAATTACAAATCGTCTAGTCCACTCGTAAAATTGTGACCATCGGAGTCGTCACCTGAAAATCAAAAGTCATGGTGTGTGACAATGCATATTACTGGTACAATCGCCATGCATCCTATAAGCCTCCACCATTTACAGTAAGAAGTATTACGTCATCACATGTCACAAGACGGTCACAAGATATCATCAACTCTCGCTCCCTTTTTATGCCCGGCCTGTCACCACACCCCCTCACAGCATCCAGAACACCAACAAAAAATACTGTGACCGCTTTCCAGTTCACCTGACTTCAACCTACGTTCCCGTAGTCACTTGTTCCAAGTCGCGTTCGCTATCCTCAAAACACCAACAACACCTATTTCAACATACTAAAAGCGGACAATGACCAGTGAGGAAGCCGCAGTTATTAACATGGTACTACTCCCATCCACTCACCTTACAACTTACCCTTCCAATTAAGATTAACTTTACTCGCGGTCTTTCTAATTCACACTTTTTTGTACCTGTTTATCTCTCTCTACCTCACTGACCTCTTCCCATATTTGGTTTCGTCACGTTTTATACTACGGTATCCACAGCAAACTCAAGCCCCTTTCAAAGAAAACCCTCAAAATGCACAACAGGGTAACCAGAATAAGGATGAATCTCAACCTGTAACTGTTAACTCACAAACTCAACAGAAAATTCAAAATATCCAACCTAGGTACTCGATTACCGTATTATGATATTATAACAACCAGTGGTATTATACATGTAATTACTCATAAATTTATTCCTTTCCCATGTTCCTTTTTCAGTTCTACCTCGCAGAGTAACTTGACTATTCAACAACAACATTCTTCACAGACCCAGGCTCAACTTCAATCAGTGGCACAACACAACCCTGGCACTCCTCTGGCTCCCAAGCAAGAACCAGTTGCTATTCATCCAGCACCATTACCTATCCAGCCAGCACCAATGACTCCCCAACATGCCATTCCACAGGCATCGCCTCTTCGACCAAATTCTTTGACTCCCAGTTCAACGCCTCAGTCCTCTCCTTCTGGAAAGCCTCCCGTGGGCAGTGAAGAGTGGCATCGCCAACGGCGAGAGAATCATAAAGAGGTGGAGCGTCGTCGTCGTGATACAATTAACCAAGGAATCAATGAATTAGCTAAGATTGTGCCTGGTTGTGAGAAAAATAAAGGCAGTATTCTCCAGAGAGCTGTTCAATATATTCAACAGCTTAAGGAGAATGAAGCAGCGAATATTGAGAAGTGGACACTGGAGAAATTGTTAACAGATCAAGCCATTCAAGATTTGCAAGCGCAAGTAGATTTATTGAAAACCGACAATCAACGATTGCGAACAGAGTTGGACGAATCACAAGGTCCTAAAAAGAAACAGCGAACGGAGTAGATGGGGAGGGAGTGAAGTTTAGTAAATATATTCTGGTTCATTGGTATTTAGGTCAAGTAAAAATTATACCCGTATATCACCATTTGTAATCCGAAACAGATGTTTTTGTTTTATTAATAAAATTGACAGTAAATCACGTAAAGCAAGATAAAAAGTAGTTATTTTTTAGGCAATCGACCCTTAAAAAGGTAAAACTGTACTTTTTTCGTTTCTAATTTGTTTGTTACATCAAGATTTCAGGGGTTCGAATTTCGTACTTTCTGATTAAAACTTTGTTAAATGCAATAGCTTTTAATTTGCTCTCGCTGACATTTGATCATTGTTTGTATCTATAGCCATCAAACAATGTTTTGGGTCGAACAGGGAAGTTTTAAATGATGATAAAATAAATTGCTGTTTATTGCAACCCCATCACGATTTACATATCCATTAGCTTTGTATGCGCATCGTCCTTTGAATCAAATGCATGGTGAGAATGAAGATTTTGTCAATTTAAGAAACCACTTGGCGATTAAGAGTTGTCCATCGATATTGTGCCATCAATCACGATGCAGATTCGTTATGGTCTCTCAACGAAAGTTTACGCGATAACTGAAACTGATAGGAGCTGCGTCACTGATCACCATTCATAATACACTGCTTATGAATTGTCGATATTTACACTATAAACAACATCTAGCATTAATGATGGAGAAAACGACGACTGCATATTTCTGCTCTTCTACTGATGTTTTCTTTACGTTTTATAGTTTTCTTAATTCACTGACTTTAAGCTGGATTTTTTTACGTGAATGTCCTGCTTCTCTTGACGTCTGATTTGTGATGTGTAAATTAGATGTACAGGAGTTACTCATAGTATGTTTACAGATGACATTTTTCGTTCCGTCTAATATTTGCCCATGTATATCAGCTTTTTTCTTGTATAGGAAGGAATGGAAGACAATTATTAGACGGTAGTTATAAAAGACGGAAATAAGTGCAAAGAACAGACAGAATAGTTCAAGATCTCGTTAGTAATTTTGTATTCAAGCGTTGGGTTTCTGTGCAATATAACATACACGTTTTTATGTATACACGTTTCTTTGCTATTACCCATACACAAACTTGGCGGCATGCTAACAGTAGTTAGTCTTATGAACTTTTTCGTGACCTCCCGATAATTTGAACGTACTTTTTCCAAATATAGTAACAATGGAGAACGTTACCATCACTGATAATCTCATTAACAACAACAATCATATGATTCATGAAATTTGTTATGATAGATAATTTCAAGATTTAATTGACGTAATTACCAACAAAATATAAACCGACTTTATACTTACTGCATTGCTCACTTTATTCGGCTATCAAATTAAATTCTAGTTTGAATTATATAATAAAATCTGCTATAATTGACATTATACGTATTCCAAACCCGGAATATCCCCTCTCTACAAAATAATAAAAATTTCTCATAAACAAGACGACGCGCTTACGCTTTTTCCCTGCAAAAAAGAACAAGCGGATTTGAGTTAACGGTTTTGACATAACCTAAAAGCTACTCTATTACAGTCATACCTCGTTTATATCCCCACTTTGGGACCCAAGATACAGTCCTATCCCGTTTTTTATCTTCCCACTTGCTTTTGGGGATATATTCGAAGTGGCATATAACTGAAATACATATTATTAATATGTTGTGCAACGCTATTTAAAGCATGCGATTTTATTGATTAATAAATTCTGTTATAAAGTTTGGCGTTTTGACTTTTATCTTTCTCTCGGAGAATGATACTTATGATCGACGGCCTACATCGAACTCGTTTGCCAGTTTTCATTACTTAGTTTGTATCAGCGTTTCTTCTTTTATTTTAACCTCAAGTAATAAATTCTCCTTGCTTTCTTCGTCTACTGTTGTTCTGGTCTGGTATTTTGCAGAACTAGCCCGTCTTAACATGCAGAGGTTTTATAAAATCATCAATGATAAAATAATGGTAATAGCTGTGTGGTTAATAGATCTGACGGTTTATTAAAAAGACATTGCAACGATACTTTCTCATTTAGGCCAGTGGGTATAACATCATTATGTTATGCTCACTCAGCTTAGATTATAAGCACTCGGTTTAGGTTATATTCACTTAGTCACGTAATTTAGGTTATTCCCACTCATAGTGACGATGAGTTTGCAATTGCGTCATCATTGCAGGGGGTTGGTTCACAGCGGAGTTAAGCTTGCGGAGTTGTTTGCGGAGATGGTTGAACAAAAAAATTGTTATTTGGTTAGGCGACAAGTTTGTATTTGCATCATTGTTCGACTGACGATAAGATTATGTTTAAAGACGTCCATTTGGGCAGAAAAAATAATTCAGTAATTCAGACGATCGGCTTGACATTAAGTCAAGTAATAACGACGATTTCGCGGTTGCGTCGTCATTCAGCCGAGGCGCGTTGAATAATTATTTAAATAATCGAGAACTTTGGGTAAATGCCTAACCAATGCTCTAATTAATGTAGGATTCGAAGATAGAGATTCGACTGCATATTGAACTTTGTACAGTATAACATTTGCGCAAGTGTCCTATTAAATCGTTCTACAATTGCTAGCCCTCGATGGCTATAAACATAAAGTCCAATCATCCGAATTGTAACGTTATGATCTCGCATTAATCGAGCGGTTTCGCCCATAAATTCACGCCCACCATCACATTGTAATAACTCAGGCCAGGAAAGAGGAATACTTGGGACATCATAGATTTTTCTAAATGCGCTTGCAACTTCTGAACTGTTTTTTGACTCAGAGGTACAGAATATTTGAATCTACTGGCGACATCTACAACATTTTGAAATTTTACCGTAACTACGTGGGTTGGTTGAAAAGTTCTGATCGTGAACAATTATCTCCACAACTGCCCAATATATTTAAAAACAAAAACTATGGTTGCAAGCCCGAGGTTTTAGTAAACAGCTGAAAAAAAGTTGGCCTGAATTGACCTGGTAATTGTCGAGTTATGTACGTTCGTTGACGATACCCTAAAAGCAATTGTCTAATTCCTCATAGAAGTTAGGAACAATATTGAAAATTCCTCTGAACATGCCATATTACAAACCCTAATAACTTGCAAAATTTCAACGCAATCCGATGTCTCCAGCAAAAGTTTCAAACACTCGACATGTAATTCTAGGATAGTGCATAGGCATATAACAAATTCCTATCTCCATACATTTCTAAGCAATTTACCTAATCTTTTTGTTTGTTTGTTTGTTCAGACAATTCTTTAGGATTGTGGTATTAGCAAAAACTTAATCACGTGATATGTTTATCACAACATGCGTAATCGGCTAACGGCGGTTGAGAAAAAAAAGTTCGCAAGGATTGCATAGAAGACTGGAGAAATGAATTTTGAAAACTGTTTCAATCGAATTTTTTAGTGTGACAGGAAAAAATGAACGCTACTCAACAACTTATATGCCAACTCGGACCAACTTTTTTTTCACTTGTCCCTCAGAAGCTCAAGCTTCGAAGACTTATCTTTACTTTTAAGTGAGACCGGCACTTGTCAAGATAAAAATCCACGATCAGAACTTTTCAACCACCCCACGTCTCGAGTACGTTATATTAAAGTATGCTGCCATATGTCCCGAGAACATAGCGTGGAAATATATCGATTTCGCTCATGTTAATACCGAAGTATGCTGTGACTGGTTGTTTGCAGGTATCTGTGACAGAACTTGTGACGCTTGTTTGAAAGTCTTGAACCTTTTCATTTCTTTCTCGATTACCTCTTTATGTGTCTGTCACAAGTTACTTAAGTAAAATAGTAGAATTCTAAGGAAAAATTAAAGCCCTTTCCTATGGTATGCCTTTGATATATACCCGATACATATGCCTATTACATATATTTGATACACACACATATATCGAGTACGTATTCGATATACTCCCTTTGATACATATACATATACCTGATATATACCTACCTTCGATATGTACATATGGTATACATATAGAAAAAATAAGGTGGTACTCGATAAATTAACCTAAGAAACTTGTGACGCTTGTGAGTCATCGAGAACAGTCTTATTCGAACTCAGACTCTCAAAAACCAGCTTTCTACAAATTTTTTTACTTGAGACGAACTCGTGACAACTTGTGACAGCAAATGTCACTACAGTCAGACCTCCTTACAGTCACACCCCATACAGTCACAACTCTATATAAGAACGCTAATTTTTGAAACGGACTT